TAATTAACTTTTATCCCCAGTATTTTTTGTTATTATTGTATTTCTGCAAAAATAATAAGGGCATATAATAAAGCTAATTTACATAAACACTTAATAGAATATTAATGACAGTGATCATGATAACTTTTGTTATCATCATGATGATAAAATCAATAACAATCATCAGTACCAATCAATTAAAAAAATATCGTTGATGAAATCCGTCATTACTATTTATTTCGTTATGGGCCTCATTCTAGTTTTCGTCATTACAATGTCAAATGGAATGGCATACTGTAGATTCTATGCATAATTACGCTCTCCCCAGACAAGGCGGGTACTTATCAATAGGAGAGGGGGCGTGAGACCTCCAAAACTGCAGATTTAAGAACAAACTAAATGCTAATTGTTAGTATCATCCTTACGTGATAGGCTGATGTCTTTGTAAGGATACCAAGTGATGACTTTACATACTGAGATTATTTGTGGTTCAGTTGTTTTCACCTTTAGTCACCTAGCAATGATATGCCCGATTATGAACAATAAAATCAAATAATTTTCGACACAAACATGTCCCATTTTAAATCCCAAGTAAAATACAAGGCAAGGGGCTCATACAAGTTCTTAAAAGGCAAAAAGGGAGCTTCATGCAAAAAGATCTAGATTGAAAGGGTTCGATTCCCTTTCAGGGAAGGTAGCTATGCAGTACATCTATTGTTTGGTATTGCGGTATCGCATTATTCCGATACATATATCATCGTCATAACAATCATCACCATTTTTATGACCATACCCGTACCTGTTTTTATAATTTTAACCGGCATTACCCTTATCCACAAATCCGCCTTCATCACCACCATGCCCCTCCCTGGCTCCAGTAGCAAAGGTCGTCTAAGTGAGCACACGTAACCGACGCCTCTCCCCCCCCCCCCCCCCCCCCCCCCCCCCCCCCCAGCGGTGGCTGAAGCCCAGCGGAACTCTCTTTGTCACGGATTACTGCCTGGGACCCGCGCCGACCTCGAGGCCCTTCGCCGACTACATGGCGAAGTCGAGTAAGTCATCGGCGGCACTTTGGGCGCTGCCTGGTGAAATATCGGAATTACATTATATTAGTATTAGCTAAATGATGTCAAATAGTAGTTTTGATTTGATGGTGATACCGAGAATAAATGGAATAAATATTGTAAGGCATTCATGCAAACAAATTTGCAATAGAAAAGCAATGGTACTGAAAGACAACAGCATTACTGTAAAAGCAGGGCAAAACCGCGACTCAGAGTACCAATAGCGCCCTATGTTTTTTTTTCTCTTTCTTTCTTTTTTTTGGTGGCTTGACACTTGCATGTGACCTGTAATGCGAAAAAATGAAATGAATAAATGTCTTCAGATTTAATGCTATAGAATCTAATCTAATCAACTTGCAAGGTATGTCCCTGGTGACAGTGAGGGATTACGGGCGTGTGGTCACAAGGGCGGGCTTCAGTCTGATAGCAAGAGACCTCGGTAACGAATTCGACAGGATCCAGCAGAATGAGCTCGACGCCTTCATACCAACGCAGGAGGCCTTCGCTCAAGAGTACTCTCAGGAGGAATTTGAAGGAATGGTGACTGTTGCTACTAATAAGGTGAGTTGATTTCGTTAAGAATTCACTATGCAGATTACTAGCTTAAACATCTAAGGTTGGACAGTTACCTTAAACATTCAAGATTTCACAATATTGACCATTTAATGTCGTCCATGTAATGTTTTGATTCTTTGTACGTTTACCCATCCTCAGCTCACGTGGATCAGGACTCGCCAGCTGACGTGGGCCTCTTTCGTCGGTCGGAAATTATAGTTTTCCAACTGACAGACAACCGCCGAGTTTATATCGGCGCTCTTAACATGGTTGAGCGGCGAAGGCTTTGTTGTCTACTATTCCCTCTGGCAAAAGGTGGAACTGTCTTTGCAACGTAAAGGAGTAGAAAACATATTTGCGAACCAAAAGCTGAAAGGCAAATTGGAAATGATCGAAAAAATAAGATAATGATACATGAAGTATCGTTTGCTCAAGATCAATAAAACTTTTGAAAAAGAATGGGAATCATTGATACCTAATCGAACATTTTTTAGGCCATTCGTTTGTTTTGATAGGCCATAGCTATACACATACTTATCCATCCATCCATCCATACATACATGCACACACACACACACACACACACACCCACGCATGCACACACACATACACACACACACACACCCACGCATGCACACACACATACACACACACACACACACGCACACACACACACACACATATATATATATATATAGAGAGAGAGAGAGAGAGAGAGAGGGAGAGATCCCTCTCTTCGGTGGGCTAGCCAAGAAGAGGCTTATTCCAGGTGAGCATAAAACAATACGACCAAGTTGTGTGGGAAGTTCACATGTTTTATGAAATCTCATCAAAGTTTGATTGGGCGATGCGAGTTTTCTTGCGGCCGCTCATTCTGCTGGACCGACAGAGCGAGCCAATCA